CCTTCACCTGCACACCTATCCCTTCACCTGCACACCTATCCCCTTCACCTGCACACCTATCACCTTCAGTTTTTGTTGTTGTTTAGCATTTTATCCAAGATCAGTTCAATACAAGCTGCTCTGTCTGTCTCTGTCTCTTTCTCCTCTTTGTCTCCACCTCTGTCTCCTTCCTCCTTCCCTCCCTCACTGTTCCTCTCTCTGTCTCTTCTTGCAGGGAGAACCTGGCCCCAAAGGAGATCCTGGTGAGAAGAGCCACTGGGTAAGCTCCAGCCCAGCTCTGGCTTCCCCACGCCCCCTCCCATCCTGAGTGCTCAGCATAGCATTCTGTCACCAGTGGGACCTGGGAGTGGGAGTGCCCCATTCAATCCCTCTTGCCGCCTGGTCTCCCAGGGAGGAGCTTTGGCAGATCTCAGCCCCAGCTGCCTCCTCTCTTCTGTCCCTCCCAGCTGACCAGGGCCAGTCCTATCAGCAGACCCATGCTCTCTGTCTCTGTCCTTGTCCCTGTCTCTGCCTTCGTTCTGTGGCCTTTCCAGGCCCAGGTGATTCTGCCCCTTCCCCCTGGGAGGTTTGGGCTGACCCCAGCCAGACTGCAGCGCCTGCCTCCCGAGCCCTCTCCCAGCAAGGGCTTTGGCTTCTTCTCCCATCTGCAGAAGATGTGAAGCTTGGAAACAATACCCAAACAGAAGAATGGGACAGGGCATCTTAGAAGCCCCATAGTGAAAGGGACAGGAGATCTCGATACCACCACACACAGGAAATCCATGAAGTTTGGGAAGAGAGGCCTAGAAGTCACCTTGTACACATTTGTACATGGTAAATGAGACTAAACCCAAAAGACCTACAGTTAAATGAGGTCCTAGACACCATCACAAGGAGCTCTGGTGGTGTAGTGGTTAAGGCATTTGGCTGCTTACCTAAAGGTCAGTGGTTCAAACCTACCAGCTGCTCCATGGAAGAAAGATGAGGCAGTCTGCTTCCATAAAGATTTGTTTTTGTTGTTATGTGCTGTCAAGTCGTCCCCGACTCATAGCAACCCCTTCTTGGGTTTCTGAGGTGGTATCACTATGGAAGTAGATTGCCCAACCTTCCTTCCAAGGAGTGGCTGGTGGGTTTGAACTGCCAACCTTCTGGTTAGCAGTCAAATGCCTTAGGCACTATGCTACTATAAAGATTTTCAGCCTTGGAAACCGGATAGGCGTCACTACGAGTTGGAATCAACTCAGTGTCAGTGAGTCTGGTTATCTGTTTTAGATACCATCATATACATAGGAGACCCAGGTAGAAGAGAGATCTAGAATCTACCGTATATACAGGAGACCCATGGAAAATGGGAGGGAGGAGCTAGACACCACTATACAAAAAGGTAGCCAATGAAGAATGGGATGGGATGCCTACAAACTGTCACATATGCGGGAGACTTAGAGTAAAGGGGAAGGGGGACATAGAAACCACCCAAAAGTCCCATATTCAATGTGGTATTGTAGAAACCATCACAATCACTGGAGAGGCTTGTGGTCAGTGAACCGTGAGTTCTGGAAACTTTTACCCACCTAAGAGACACATAGGGGCTCTGGTAGCATAGTGCCTAAGGCACTTGACTGCTAACCTGAAGCACCAGCCACTCCTCAGAAGGAAGGTTGGGCAATCTACCTTCATAGTGATACCACCTCAGAAACCCAAGGAGGGGTTGCTATGAGTCAGGGCACATAACAACAACAAGAGACACATAGGGTGAGGACCAGGAACCTACACCCACAATACCCGAAAGACCCCTGATACAGGAACCTAGAAATCATAACTGATTTAGAAAACATTTGAAACATGGCTGGGGGATGAGGGACAGACACCCCATAAGAGAAAAGGTCTGTTGGAGGGTGGCATCTTGAATCACCCCACCCCCACCCTGCAGTCTGGCTGGGACACCCCACTTTCCTGGCAGGTAGCAGATAGTGAGAATGTGGGAGGGCCCCAGAGCCTGCCCTGCCCTCTCTGCTCCTGATTGTGGGGTCAGTGATGGATACAGCCGTGGGAGCCCCCCACCCTGCACGATTTCTCCCCCATGTCTCTTCTGGGGGACTTCTGGGGCCCTGCTACCTCTCTGTCAAGCCTCTCTCAGCCCCTTGCTTTCCTCCCACCCCTCTACTCCGTGGCTCCAGAGCCTCTTGAGATAATGACACTGTCACGTGGCCCTGAGCTGGGCAGGGGTCAAGTAGACCCATGTGCATTTGGCCCTCTGCTTTCCGTAGGCCCTGTCACTGGCCTCACCCAGAGATCCTTGGTCTAGTAACATGCTTTCTACCCAGCTTAAGAGGGTGGAGGCAAAATTGGGACAGAATGAGGCTGGCAGCCCCATCCCTGTGTAGGGACCCCCATTGGGGAGCAGGATGCTTGGGCTACTTAACCCATCAGGGCCTGTACCCAGAACCACCTGTGGGGCCGGGGGCCGAGAGGTAGCAATGCCCTTCCCCATCCACCCACCTCCCACTCACCTACCATGCATCCTGCCTGCTTGCTGCCTGTTTGCCTGCCTGGAGGAGGGCCTGCTGGACTGGGAGATGCATGAGGCTTTGGGGGCCTGCCAGGACCAACTCTGTTGGGAGCAGACAGGGATGGGGGTCTAGTGTGGGAAAGGGCCCATGGCCCCTATAAACACACCTCAACACCCTCTTAGTGCAGCTTTTGGAGCGGCTGGCCCAGCTGCAGCTCAGCAGTGACACCTGGTGGTCATAGACCACACTGCAGGCCCTGCCAGGAAACTAGTGGGCTGAGCCACCCCATCTAGACCAAAGTTTGCACCCCTTATAGACAGAAAAACTAAGGCCCAGCTCTGCCCAGCAAGTCATTAACAGAACTGGTATCAGAGTCCAGGCTTTTCAGCTCCCCGGGCCAGGAAATCGACTAAACATTCCCAGCACCTCCGTGGTGGGTGCTAGACCTTCAAATGTACACTGGGGACATGAATGCTACTCAGACAGTCCTCACCCTCAGGGTAGTCACAGCGGGGTCGGGGACAACAGGCCTGTAGCCAGCAGCCACGGGACAGGGGGGAAGCTCCGGCAGCTCTGGGGACCCAGGGGAAGACTCTTGTCCAGCTGGGGCGTCAGGAAAGGCCTCCCGGCAGAAGAAGAGACCAGGCTGAGGCCTGGAAAGTGCATTAATCAGGCAAAGGGTGTTCAGACAGAGGAGAAGGAATGGCATGTGCAGAGGCCCCGAGGCAAGAGTGAGCCTGGAGTATTCAAGGTACTGCAAATACTTGGAGTGAGTGAGTGTGGCAGGCAGGGGGTGAAAGAGGCTAACGGGAACCAGACCTTTCAGGTCCTAAGAGGGCAGCTGAAGGAGTTTTGAACTTTGTTCTATGGGCAATAGGGAACCATTGCAGAATTTAGGAGGAGAGTGACATGGGTCGGATTCTTGTTTACGAAAGATCCCTCTGCCATGTGGAGAATGGATGGGAGAAGAGGTCAGTGTGGGAGAGGCAGAAAGAGAGCCACTAGGCAGGAGGCTATTGTGGGCATCGCAGAGAGAGATTGTGGGGGCCGGAACTGGGGGGCAGCTGTCGATGGAGCAAAGTGACAATCGGGTGCTGGTTGTACATGAGGGGGCATGAGGAGTTGGGGGAGACTTTTACAACAGTAAGAGGGAGCAAGGGGGCAGTGGTGGTTTGCTGGTAGAATTCTCCCCTTCCACATGGGAGTCCCAGGTTCGATTGCCACCAGTGCCCCTCGTGCACAGCCACTACCCATCCGACAGTGGGGTTTGCACGTCGCTATGACGCTGAACAGGTTTCAGGGGAGCTTCCAGACTAAGGTGGATCAGGAAGAAAGGACTGGGGAGCTGCTTCTGAAAAACAGCCAGTGAAACCCCCACGGATCCCAGTGGTCAGGTTGTTATTTTGAAATTGTTCAAATGGACAGAAAATTGGTACACTTCTACCCTTCTTTAGATTGGCCAGTTGTTGATAAGTTTCCCCATTTACTCTTTCTCTCTTTATATATTATAGGCTTTTTTTCCCTAATCCTTTTAAAAGTTAAACTGCAGATTTCATCCGCATCTCTTCCAACTCCTCTAAGGACAGCACATAGACATCCCTTCGCGTAACCACTCTACACTGTCACACCTAAGAGAGTCAACATTCATCCAGTAAAATAATGCCATTAAATACACTTAACATGTGAAGTATATAAATGTCACCATTTTTCCCCCAAAATACCTTTTATAACGGTTTGGGGTTTTTTGGGTTATTTTTATTATTATTATTTTTATTGTGATTTGGGTGAGTTTACAGAACAAATTCATTTTCTGTATGAGCAGTTCACACACATTTTGTCTCATGACATTGACTTCAATTCCTCACAGTGGAATTGGTAACAAGTCACAGGACATGGCTGTGTGCATCGCCCTGGGGAAACTGCTTAAAATGCTGGCAAGCCTGGCTTAGGCCTGGGTGCCCCTCCCTAACCCCTCACACTTTGGCTTCCTCCAAGGTCTCTGATTACACCCTGCTCTCAGCCCAGTCTTCCCCTCTTCCCACTTCCTCCCTGTAGTTTCCTCTTCCCCGTGTTTCCTTCCCTCCCATGCGCCCCCGCCCCCACCCCCAGCTGTCTCCCTGTGCAAACACTGCCTTTCTGTTCTCCCACATCATTCCAAGGAGTATATCTACCTGATGCAAATGTTCACCCCGTATACCTGTCTATTGTTTGACTGGAAGCCTCAGGAGTGAGTTCAATTCCAGACCTGGGGTAACTAGGTAGGGGCCATAGTCTTAAAAGGTCTCACCAGGCTGTATCAGACCAGTCAATCTGGTCTTTTTCATGCTTTTGAGTTTTGTTCCGTATTGTTCTCCCACTCTACCCAGGATCTCCTGCACTGATCCCTCTCTGAGTGGTTGCTAGTGGTAGCTGGGCACTATCTAGTTCTTCTGGTTTTATTTGTTTCTTAGTTACTATTTCCACTGCAAAGGTCCTACAGATCTTAGAGCTGGTTTGGGAGTGTTTTTTTGAACCCAAGATCTAATCCAAAGCTCATGCATTGCACTTAGTTGTCACATCCCAATCTCTTGTCATGGAGACCAGACCCCCCCGTCCTCTTTTTCTTGGCATCGCCACGCAGTCTGGATTGTCAGTTTCTTCTCGATGATGAGCAGGTTTCACACTCTTGGCAGGGCCACTAATGGAGGGCGCGGTGCTGTGCCATTGCATCTTGTCAGGAGGCTCATGACGCTTCTCCCACCATCCATTCCAGCAATGGCTTCACATAAATTTTGAAGGTCATCCATTTTTAGATCCTGGTGTGCAGCCCATAGTGACCTTGTGACACTCCCTCCAGGCTGCGGTGCCAGTCGGTGGCCTGAGGGTAGCCCAGTCCTCATGATGTGGGTGGGACAGCTGGATCAAAACAGACGGTCTCAGCCAGGACCCAGCAGGTTTGCTCATACAGGCATGGTGTTCAGATGTTTTCTGGGACAACAACTGCTTGAAAGGGTTGGATTATAATTGTGCAAATATGCTTATTAATCACACTTCACTTAATCTATACTAAGCAGAGGACGCTGACAGAACACATAAGCTGCTACTGTCAGGTCTGGAGCAGGCCTGTCTGCCATCCACGTGCTCTGTTGGAATTGAGATACCCGCATTCCAGAAATATCTTTAGTCTGGACTAGGAAGACGTGAGGGAGTGTTGGCAGGACTGTGGACCCTCTGCTGGGGGAGGAAAGGTCAGGCAGATTGGGAGGAAATGCAGGCAGTGCAGCCGGTGAGGTGTCTGGCATGAGTCCTGGGCAGCAGCTGGCACTGCTTGGTGAGTGGGGAGCCTCCAAGTGGGGAGGCCCGGGGGAAGGGGCTTTGGGGACCCTGTGCCACATCTGCTGCATGAGGGGAGGACTGGGCTAAGAGCAGGGTGTAATCAGAGACCTTGGAGGAAGCCAAAGTGTGAGGGGTTAGAGAGGGGCACCCAGGCCTAAGCCAGGCTTGCCAGCATTTTAAGCAGTTTCCCCAGGGCGATGCACACAGCCATGTCCTGTGACTTGTTACCTGTTTGTTTTCCACAAATGGAAATGATCCCAGGAACTGCCAAGGATGAGGCTAATCCCAGAACTGCCAAGGACGAGGCCAATGTAGTATTTAGGTCCCTAGGTGATATGAATGGTTTGCACTCATCTACTAACCTAAATAAACGGTTGGTGGTTTGAACCCAGCCAGCAGTACTGCAGAAAAAAGGCCTGGTGATCTCCTGTAAAGATTACAGCCAAAAAGACCGTCTGGAGCAGTTCTACTCTGTAACTCATGGGTCGTCACAAGTTGGAATTAACTCGACAGCAGCGGGTGTGGTTTTTGTTGGTAATGTAGTGACCACGGCAAAAAGTGAGTCAGGTTAAGGATGATTAAGTACATGAGAGTACAGGTGGCTGGGGGATGGGGCAAGAATCGTGCTGGTGATGTGGGAATGACTGGGGACAGAAATTAGAGGACAAATGGACTCCATGGCAGCTTCCATGGTGGCCCCAGTGACAGGCTCCATGCAGGCTGTGGGACAGCAGTGCTCCCCTGTGGAGAGGCTCCGCCTGCCCCAGGCCGGCAGGATTTGCAGGGGTGTGGGACAGAGAAGCCCTGGGATCCCGCGTGACTTGCTGAGGGGCCCTGCTTCCGCCTGCCCTTGTCCCCTCCTGTCCTCTCCTGGTCTTGTCTAGGCTGTCCGTGGGCCCTGGGCTGTGGCAGGTGGTATGGGGCTGCAGGTGCATGTCCGGGGTGGGGCATGGGCCACCAACAGGCTTTGCAGGGTCCCCTTCCCCTGCCCCCTTCACGGCTGCATCTGTCTCTTTCCTCTGCAGGGGGAGGGGTTGCACCAACTACGCGAGGCTTTGAAGATTTTAGCTGAGAGGGTTTTAATCTTGGAAACAATGATTGGGCTCTATGGTGAGTAGAGACAGACAGACGGACAGACAGCCCAGCCCCTGCCTGCCAGCCTTTCCCTAAGCCCTCCTAGGGTGGAGCTGGCCTGGGTCCAGTCCTGAGGCTGGACCAGATACCTGCCCCAGGCAAGTGTCAAGAGAACTCAGAAGGCCTGAGAAGTCAAGACCACCCCCCCTCAATGATTGGTCCCCTCCTCCACAGCTAAAGGGGCCCTCACCTTTGTGGTCAGACCCGGGCCTCCAGGCATTGTGGGTAATGTGGTTTCCAGGCCTGCATGGGAACCAGAGGTGGAGATATCAGGTTTGGGAGAATTTATGGGCAATGGAGCCAAAGTCCAGGTCAGCAGGGGATTGCGGATAACAGCCCCAGACTCCAGCAGTGCTAGGGATTGTGGGTAATAATAAAGTCAGAGCCCAGACCTACAGAAGAATTGTGGGTAGTAGATCCAGACTGCAGATGGGCATCAGGACTAGAGAAATTGTGGGTTACAGAGCCAGTCTCCAGCTCTGCAGGATGATGGGTCATGGAGCTAGACTCCAGAAGAGTAGGGGACTATGGGTAACAGAGCCAGGCTCAGGCCCCAGAGGAGTGTGGGAAATAGACCACTCACCAGTGTCTGAATCCCTGCCCCCAAGCAGGATGCCCGAGGACCTGGTTTCCCACTTCTGGTTTCCCCTTTGTCCTCCTGACCCACCCTGGGGCTCCCCCTAGGGACCAAGAGAGCAAGACCTTCACCCGGGGCGTCCACCCAGCATTCCTCCACCCACCTGGTCACTTGAGGAGACAGGCAAGCCCCGTCCCCGCCTTAGGAGGGGAGTCCAAGCAAGGTGTCGATAGAGCCGCCTTCTCTGTTTGGGAGACAGGCCCCCACCAGCCCCCACACCCAGCCCTCGGCTCCCCCAGCCCTCAGAGGCTGGACTTGCACGGTGCATTCTTCTTGATCTCCCATCAGGCTCCTAGCTTACAGAGCTTCCTGCAGCAGCAGGCTCAGCTGGAGCTCCTGGCCAGACGGGTCACCCTGCTGGAAGCCATCATCTGGCCAGGTAACAGCAGGGTGGGCAGGCAGGGGCAGCCCCTCCCAGGAAGGGCATGGGAACACAGTAGGTGCCTCCCAGTGTGTGGCCCAGGCCAGCAGACACTTATTCTTCAGCCCTTCCATCCATCCAACAGATGGTACCTGACACAGAGGAGGTACCAGGAAGTAGTTCTTGAGTGAACGAGCACCTGCTTTGTGCCAGGCACCTTGCTGGCCAGGCCCCAAACACGTAACATAAACATAGTCCTACCCTCATGGAGCTTAGGGTGTAGAAAGGGAGAAAGTCCTGCAGGTAAAACCTAGTGAAAAGTACTATGGCAGGCTAAATGCCATGGCAGCAGAGAAATGCCCTAGGCCTAGGCCAGGAAGTGGGGCAGTGGAGGGAGGGTAGTTCAGGGAGGGCTTCCTGGAGGAGGTGGTGTCTGAGTGGAGACCCCAAACGGGAGGAGGTGTTAGTCATAATTAGCAAGGGCAAGGAATGGAGGGGAGTGAAGAGGCAGGGTAGGCGAAGCCAAGAAGCCAGAGAAAAGCTCCGGGGATTGTTCTGTGTGTGAGGTTGGCGATAGCTGAAGCTAGAGATTCTGCCAGGGCCCAGGCTGGGAAAGTTCTGGAAGGAAGGATGGGGTGGCACTGGAGGAGACCAAACCCAGGGAGGCAGGACTCCTCCTTGTGCCTGGCTTCTGGGAAGGTGGGAGATGCAGATCATGGTGGGGCTTAAGCGGCCTGTCCTCCCTAAACCAAGCTTATGGTGGACACTCTGGGCTAGGCTCTCTCTGTCCCTCGCCTATGGGCTACGAGGCCCTGGCAGAGCCCCCCTTTCTCCCACCTCCTCCAGCTGTCCCATCTCACAGGCCACCCCATCCCATCAGTGCACAGAGGCCTCGAACCTCATGTCGAGCCTTGAGCCTGTTTCACAGGTGGAGAATCCAAGGCCCGGGCTGGGGCCAAGCCTTCCCCATTCAGCAAACTGTAGGGAGCACCTCCGGGTCCCAGATCCAGATGGGCCGGGGGCCCCAGACAGCAGCTAGGTCCCAGCCTCTGGGAGCTGCTCACCCTAGAAGCCCTCATGTCTACAGTGATGAGGGCCCTGAGTACGGGAGCATCAAGGAGTGGGGTGAGGGCACAGTCACTTCTTACTGGGGGTCAGAGAAGCCTTCTCGCAGAGGGGATGCTCGAGATGAGATGGAAGAGCCTAGGGATGTAGCAAGGAGCTCTGGTAGCATAACTAGAAGGTTGGCTGACCAGAAGGCCGGCGGTTCAAACCCACCAGCCACTCCTCGGAAGGAAGGTTGGGCAATCCACTTCTGTAGTGATACTGCCTCAGAAACCCAAGGAGAGGTCGCTATGGGTCAGGTGCACTCGATGGCACGTAACAACAAGAAGGAATGTGGCAAGTGAAGGTGGCTAGCCAGTGTATGTAGTCGGCTGCCAAGCTCTTCCCACCACACAGCTTCTCAATTCCAGAAACGTCAGTGCCATCTCCCCAACGTGCCCTGCTCCCCACAGTCGACAGAGGAGAGACCAAGGACTGAGGCCTAGGCTCCTGGCACCTTTGTAGGTACCCTGCCTTTTCTCAGGAGGATTGGGCAGAAGCCAGCAGGGACACAGTCAGGCCCCTGGGGCCCTGGATCTCCCCCTCCCCAGGGAGAAAGCACTAGGCACCAGGGGGCCCCCATCCACTCTCAGTGGCTAGGAGTCTGGGAGACTGAGCCCATGAGGAACATGGGCCTAGAGGAGGAGACCTGGGAGGGGAGAGCAGAGAAGGGGATGGGACACTCCCTGTTGGCCCAGGGTTCACAGCTGGTGCTAACGGAAAGCTCAGCTGGAGCTCACATTTAGGTTATAACCAACGGTGCTAACAGTCACAGCTGGCATCTCCAACCCTTACAAGCTTGCTGGGCAGGCAATACGATGCCCATTTTACAGACGGAGAAACAAACTCACAGGGCTCGCAGGACTCTCAGGGTCACAAGACGGTAGTGGGAAGGCCAGGGTTCCACTCTTAAGTCTGAGTGCTGGCTCTTTGGGCCCCATTAACAAAGGTTTTCTGGAAGCCTCTACTAGGCCAGGTGTGGATCAAGGCCCTGGGGAAACTGAGGACCCAGAATTTGATCGTGTCAGGGCAGTATCTCACGCGGAGAACTGCAGAAGACCTGAGTCAAAGCCACAGCGACCCTCTAACCATAGTCACCCAGCTTTTACGGGCTACCAACTTCCACTCCTGGTCACACTAAACCTGCACTGCAAGCGTGTGATGAGGAAAAGGTTGTCCCCACATTCCAGGCAAGATGCCGAGATTCTGTGCCTTGTCCAAGTCCTCATAACTGGGACATAGACTTGGCCCCAGCCAACTTTGGCCACCCTCCTTCCATGCCTCCTGGCGTAGGCCTGGCTGATTTAGGGCCTTAACAAGGACTGCATGCTCCCTTGTCCCAGGAGCCTCAAGTCTCAGCCCTGAGGAGTGTGATGGCTAAGGCACACAGGGTCAGGGATGGTTACAAGGGTACAGCCTGCTCCCCTGGCAGTGCCCTCAAGGAAGCTGGTGCTCACTCACCCAGAAAAACCAAACTCACTGCCATCAAGTCGACTCTGACTCACAGCAACCCCTGCGGGCCTTCCAAGGCTGTAAAAATCTTTACAGGAGTAGATTGCCCCATCTTCCTTCTGCGGAGCACCTGGGGGGGTTTGAACTGCTGACCTTCTGGTTAACAGCCAAATTCCTTATCCACTATACTACCGGAGTTCCTTTTATGCTCCCCAAAGTCCAGGTATTTGTCCTGTGAGCAGAGTTTAGGAGGTTCAGCCATGTCTTTGATCTTGGATTCTCCTCCCTGGCTATCCCTGTCCCCCTGAAAAGACAGCTCATTTTGTTCATTTAATTTGGGGAGAGACTGAGGTGGTAGTCACAGAAGGCCTTCTGGTGGAGGTAGCTCCTACTCTTGGTTTTGAAGGTAAATAGGATTTTTTAGGTGGCAAGAAGGTCCATTATCTGCACTTTCACTCTTGGGAGCCAGCTTATTTCCAGGCTGGCGTATGTTTCACCATAGGTCCACTGGAACTGACTTTAATTGTCGGAGCTGTCTGGAACCTCAGAGTCTCCCTGGAACTGTCCCCTGCTTTTAGAGATGAGACAGCTGAGGCCCTGACAGGGGTGTGACTTGCCCAAGGGCACACAGTAGCTCAGTGGCCGAGCCTGGCTTTCCCATGCCCTCTCCACAGGCAGCTTAGCCCAGGGACAGAGGGCGAGTGAGGCCTTGGCTGACCCACCTATGAAATAGGGATGCTTCAAGGTCTTTCTTCACCCAAAATGAAGAACAGGGGAAAATTACACTTTTTACAGAGCACTTACTATGTGCTAGGAGCTCTGGTAGCACAGTGGATACGGCATTTGGCTGCTAACCAGAAGGTCAGTGGTTCAAACCCACCAGCTGCTCCTCAGAAGAAAGATGGGGCAATCTACTTTGGTAAAGATTTACCACCTTGGAAACCCAAAGGGGGTCGCTGTGAGTTGGAATCGAAGGCAGCGAGTTTGGTTTTTTGGTTTTACTATGTGCTAAACACTTCACAAACGTGGTGGGTCTGCAGGCAAGGAATCAAGCCGAGGCCCTGAACTGGGTTGGGAGTCTGACAACACGAGGGTCAGGACACTAAGCAGACTGCAGACCTCCTTCTTGCCCACAGCTCTGTCACCCGGGCGCCAGGGTGGAGTGCACTTGGCAGCAGGTGTTCTGTCTGATCCCACCACTCCCCAGGGGCCGAGGGGAGGTGGGTGTCCCAGGTGGACCCTACTAACATGTCCTCTTTCTCCTTCCCTCTGGCAGAACCAGAGCTGGGGTCTGGGGCAGGACCTGCTGGCGCAGCCATCCCCAGCCTCCTGCGGGGCAAGAGGGGAGGACATGTGACCAACTACCGGATCGTGGCCCCCAGGAGCCGGAACGAGAGAGGCTGAGGGCAGCGGCGGCCCCTCAGGGTGGGCCGGCCGAGCCCCCTCCAGGAACCGCCCATCCGTATTTATTGATGTCCTCAGGATCCCTTCTGCCATTTAGGCCTTTGGGGCAGGCAGGTCTCTGCCCTGGCGCCCCGCATGGTTGCCTCATGTGAGGCTGAGCAGGGGCCGAGGCCTGAGAGGGAAGGGGTGGCCCAAGTATGAGGTGAGGCCTCCTCCAGGGCCCTGGGCCTTAGCTGCCCTCCGTAAAACGGGGTGTAGCCAGCCTGCAGGAGGGGATGCCAGGGACAGAGCTGCTTACCTTCTGGTCAGCTGCCTGGACATCCAGGCCTGCAGCCCCGAGGAGCCCAGAGCTAGGGCTCTGCCCAGCCCTCAGGAGCCCACCAGCACCCCTCCTGTCCTTGTTTTCTGGTGCTGGGTCCCCGACCTGAGGTCAGGCTGTCCCTGCCCTCTGACTGGAGGGTCAGAGCCTTCTTGCCTCAGTAGTGCCCTGAGCCCCCAGCCCTTCCTAAGTGTTGCAGGTGGGAGTGTGGCGTGGAAATGGAAGGGCCACTTGCTCCCGCAAACGCTTGTGACAGATGGATGTGTCTTGGCCAATAAAGGCCCCCAACCTGATGTCCCCCCTCAGCCTGGTCTCAGTGTGTTACAAGGCCGACAGGGTCAGGAGCCCCTTCTGGCATCTCAGCGGCCTTCACTCCCCACCTGAGGGGCCCCAGAGATATGAGGGTAGGTGGCAGAGGCAGGCTCAGGTCACCACACCCCAGCGCAGGCCAGGGGTCCAGAGGTGGTTGTGATTGTGGAATGACCTTACTGAGAGGCCCATTCCTTAAATAAAGCAAGCCGGGGGCCAAGGCGTTCATAAACCTCAGGGCAGCGTACAGCGTACACGGCTTCTCCTGCCCGAGCCTGTTTCCTTGTCTATGAAATGGGACTGATGGTGCCACTCTCCGGTTTGAAAAAGTGACCCGTTTCCCAGCCTGTTTTCCGCACCCCTGCAGGTGACCAACCACAGGGGTGCTCTCTGCTCTCTCCAGCCCTCCTCTCGGACCCTGACTTGGGGTTGAGCCCCAATATGTGGCTAAATCATAGGCCTGCTCCCAGACAGGCAGCTCCCCGCACAGGTGCTCCCTCGAAGCCCGGCTTCCCAGGCCCGCCTCCAAGTCAACCCCGACACCAGCCCACCAGCCATCTCAGGCTCTCAGCTCTGTCTACACCCCCCTACCCTGGGAGAGGTAATGACTGAGGCTGGGGAAACCCCTGCCCCCCACACCGCACCCCCTCTCTTCCTGCCTGTGGGTCCACCAGCCACTGAGCCCGCTCTGGGCCAGGCCTGTGGATACAGAGCTGAAGCAGCCCTGGGCAATCAAGGGAAGACATTCCTGCAGAACCCAGGAAGGCTTCCTGGAGGCAGAAATTAGCTGGGAAATGGGCTATGAAGGGGTGCAAGGAGGAATGCCTGTTACCAGAGGGTCAAGGCTGGCAGTGAGGGAGGAAAGCATTGCATGGGGCCGGAACCAGATGCACTTGGGCAGTTGTCATTGCAGAATGCCCGGGAGCTCTCCGGCAGTCATTCATCCACTGCTCCATACAGAGTCAGACACCTCACCACGTCCAAGAAGGTCCAGGTTGAAAAGCAGACTGGTTTTTATTCTAAACAAGTGCCGGAGCAGGGTGCTCTCAGTCCACAGAACAGAGGCTCGCGTTCAGTACAGAGGATCAGGCCTCTGGTCACCCGAGGGCCCACCTGTGCCCTGCCCTCTGACTGGGCTAGGGGGGCCGGGGCCCTCGGGGTGGGCAGGCCGGCCCTTCCCCTCTGTGACCAGGGCCTCAGCCCCCACCTGCCCACCGACCAGCAGTGACACGGCGCCCTCCACACGGCCTGTGGCTGCCAGCGCCACCACCGCCTGTTCTGTCGGGAAACCCATGCGTTCCAGCTGCTGCAACCTGGGGGGGGGGGCAGAGAGGGAGTGTCAGGGCCGCCCCCAGGCCCTGCACCAGGGGACCCCCGCCTCTGCCCACCCGCCTCACCGCAGAGAGGAGACAGAAGACTTGGACAGCCACAGTGGGCTCTCGGGCCCCTGGCCTGGCCCCTCCAGGAGTGAGGCCTGGAGTCCCTCCTGCAGCATCTGTTCATCCAGGGCTGCCCACAGTGGGGTCTCCGGGGGGAAGCTGGGCCCAGCCCAGGCCAGGCCTGCATCTGAGGAGCCCTCCCAGGTGTGCTGCACAGCCCCCAGGCCTGGCGGGAACAGGGCTGGGGCTTCACTGCGGGGCCAGCGGCTAGGGGAGGCCACGAGAGGCGGTCCAGGCTCAGGAGGCCTGGAGGGCAGAAGCAGAACGGCTGACTGCGAGCCGCGGCCGCCGTCGGGGCTGGCGTCCACAGTGCCCCCCTCCTGCTAGGCAGCCTCACCTCACTCCGGGAGGATGGGTGACAGGCAACTCAGCCGGGCTGCCTGGGGTGGGAAAGAGCCTCAGGGGCCAGCACCTGGCCAGGGTTCTGCACACCACGCCCTCCTGCAGTGTCTGCAGCCGCAGCTCCGACAGTTCCAGCCACTGGAAAGCCCCTGCTGCGTCTGCCTGCCCAGAGCAGGGCGGCTGGTCAAGGAAAACCAAGTCAGCAGGGGGTCAGCCTGTACTTCATGGCAGGCCTGGTGCCAGGTGTGTGACAGGCCTTCCCTCGTGTCTCCTCACTTGTCCACCGCAGTTAGCAGTAGGGGCTCAGAGAGAGACGGCCTGGTGAACTTATTCAGTAAGTGAGAGGAGCTGGGATGGGCCTCAGCCCAAACCTGGGCTCACCCCACGCCCCACCTGCAGCCAACCCCTGACCCATACTGTCTCTGGAGCCCTGTGCCTACTCAGCTTCCAAAGAAAGCCCCATGGGGCACCCCTCACCTTGGCCAAGCCAGCCCGCTACTCCAAGGTTCAGACAGGCCAAGGTTCAGACAGGCCTGGGCAGCTGGTAGAGCTAAACAGGTTCCTCCCCTGCAAATGATCCCAGGGTTCAGCCTGAGCCCACCATTCTCCCTGACTGCACCTTCTTCCCCAAACACAGGTTAAGCATCCTTGGAGCAAAAGCCACCACAGGCCACAGGGGCTCCCCCTTTCAGCCCCTGGAGAGCCCCCCGCCCACCCCCACAGGGGCTCCCCTTTCAGCTCCTGGAGAGCCCCCCGCCCACCCCCCTGCCAGACTTTGGCCTTACTGCGTCCTCTGCCGGGTGCTCCCTCCAGGTCACTTCACCTGAGCCCCTCACCCTGCACATCCTAACTTGGCTGCCACCTCCGGTGGGGGGGCGGCCTTCCCTGATCTCAGGTCCAGGTTAGCGCTTCTTAGGCCTCCCCAGCCCTGGGAGCTCCCCACAGAGATTTCTAAATGGTAACTGGCACCTCCACCTGGCCATGCACTCTGCAGCCCCCAGGCCCAGCCCAGCCAGCGCCCAGTACGGAGGAGTGGGAGATGCTTCTAGAATGGGTGTAAACTGCCTCCTGGCGATGCTTAGGCCTGACCCCCTTGTGCTGCTTCTTCTCCAGACCCCCTGGGGGCCCAGCCACCGCTCCCACACGCCCTGGGCCCCAGGCAAAGGATACAGGCCAGGCCAGAGAGAAGGCCACAGAGGAGCTGCAGGAAGGGTGGCTCAGGGCTGAGCAGCGGGGTCAGGCTCAGTAGCAACCACGGCAGCAGCCACGGTGGCACTGCACCCCGGAGCCGTCCTGGGCGGTGCCCCTGCCGCGCCAGCATGGCCAGGTGGACGGGCATGTACCCGCAGCCACTGGCCACGCTGGGCACCCCGAGGTTCGCCAGCAGCACGGCCAGCAGCCCGGTGGCCAGGGCCAGCAGGGCCGAGGCGTGCAGGAACCGCAGAGTGCCCAGGTGGCGCTCCTGCTGCCAGCCCAAAACGGCCAGGAGCAGCAGGCTCAGGAGCAGGCCTGGCAAGGCGGTGTGGCCCAGGGCGTGGGCCAGCAGCCGGTGTGCTGGGAGAGAGAAGGGTCTTAGGTGCCCAGTTAACAGCCATGACTGTTAACAGCCTCGGACCTCTGAGGCTCCCCCCGCTATGCCAAGTTGACAGTTACCCTCCACCAGGGCCGCCTGCTGGGCCAGCCTCCCCTCCAAAAGCTAGCGTCTGCCCACTGCCAGCACTTAATCAGGACAGGACCAAGGGCCACCGTGGCCACCCGTCCTGTATTTAATAGAACCACGATTACTGAGCGCTCACTACGCCCCAGGCACAATGCAGGTGCTTCACATACACGTTTACCGAATCCTTCACATGGGCTCTGATGAGACTGCCTGCTTCAACCCCGGACCCTCACCCCTCTAGCTGTGTGACCTTGGATGAGTCACTTAACCTCTCTGAGCATCATTTGCATTTCCTCAGATGCAAACTGTAACTGTTACTATTGGAGAACAGGTGCTGGGCTGAAGGCCTTGAGAAGCCGTCATGAGCTCCCTGCTCACCCTGCTGGCCCTCTGCTCTCCATGCTAGCCTGGGGATGAGCTGGGCATGCTCCCATCCAAGGCTAGCCTTCCCCAGGGCCCTGGGTCCCCTCCCCACTTGGCCCTTCTCACCTGCAGCACTGACTTCCCCTCTCTCTGAGGTGTTCTGTCACCTCCCAAACACATTGTAGGCCTCTCCTCCAACCACTGCCCATCTCTCTACTCCCCTTCAGAGCAAAACTGCTAAAGAGATGCCTCCCCTCCCTGCCTTGACCACTTCTCCTGGTCTCCCTCCTCCCTGCCACTCCTTAGAAGTCACCTTCGTCAGGGTCAGTGATGACCTCCACCAGTAGTGCAATTTCGAACTCCGTATACACTTAAGCCCCGGCCACCATGTCCATTTGAGACTCCAATGCCACACTGTAGCCTCCCAAATTTCCACCTCCAACCCTGGCTCCTGACTCCCAGCCAGCTGTCTGCCTCAGGTATGTCTAATCGGCCTCTCAGACTTCACGTGTCCAGAGCCACACTCTCTATTCTCCTGCAAACCTGCTCCCTCCAAAGAGACCTCAGATAAGCAAAGCATTACTGAACAAGAACAAAGTAGGAGGTCTCACGCTCCTGGATCTCAAAACCTACTATACAGCCACAGTAGTTAAAACAGCCTGGTATTGGTACAATGAAAGACACACAGACCAGTGGAACAGAACTGAGGACCCAGAAACAGATCCATCCACCTATGTGGTCAGCTAATCTTTGAAAAAGAGCCGAAATCCATTCAACGGGGAATAGTCTCTTTAACAAATGATGCTGGCAACACTGGCTATCCATTTGCAGAGAATGAAAGAAGATCCGTACCTCACACCATACACAAAAACTAACTCTAGATAGATCAAGATGTGAACCCTAAAACTATATAAAAAGTTCATCAGACCTGTTCCCTCCAGGGTTCCCCATCCTTCCAGTTGCTTAGGCCCCAAACTGCCTACCTCTCTTCCCTCACACCCAACATCCAAGCCAGCTGCCAATCCCATCAGCTCTATCCTCAAAATGCCTGCAAACTCACCCCGTCCCACGGCTTCCCTACCTACCAGTCCAGGCCACCATCTCTACTAGGATTGTGGCCGTGACCTCCTTACTGGGCTCCTGGTTTCCACCCCTGCCCCCTTCAGCTTATTCCCCACCTAGAATGGGGGTCATCAAAGCCCCAATCAGGTCATGTCACAATTCTGCTCAAAGTCCTCAAAGTCAAAGCCAAAGTCCTCAAGACCCTACATCTCCTACATCACTCCACTCCCACCACCCTGGCCTCCTTGCAGGTCCACCAAGACACCCATGTGCTCTCACTACACTGCCTTTGCTGTTTCCCCACCTAGAACGCTCGTCCTCTGTTCTCTGCATGGCTGGCAGGTGCCCTCAGTCCTTGCAGGGCTCTGTCTCATGTTCCCCTCTCACAGTGGAACCACCTGACCACTCTGCCTTCCACTCTGTTTCACGTGCTTCTCAGTACCCATCAGCTCCTGAGCTACCAGGCATTCACTTGTTTATAGGGCTCCCCTTCCAGGTGGGCAGCACCATGAGAACAAGGCCTTTGCTTTCTTCATTGTTGTATCCCCAGCCCAGAGAACCAACCACACGTGTTATGTAGTAGATGCTCCATGAACACCTGCCGACAGACTAAATGAATGGATGGATAGGTATGTTTTGTGATACAGTCACTCAGGGACCTGCTTAGGCAGCTCCATCCAATCGACCTCAGTAGAAGATGAGCTGCTAATATGACCCCCAGTTTGCAAGGGAGGAAACTGAGGACCAGGGAGGGCAAGTGACTGGTCTGAGCCCCACTGCAAGTCCCCTGTCTCCTCCAAGGCCCATTGTGGCCCTCACCCTGCCAGGGTTCCAGCAGCAGCTCCGGGGCCAGGGTGAGGCTGGGGCCGGCCCCCGCCAGCCACAAGCCAGTCATCAGCAGCATCAGAGCAGAGGAGGTGAGAGGCAGGGCTGGAGGCAGTGGGCCAGGGGGTCCCCTGGCATACATGTCAAGAGTGGTCAAGACTGGTCCTGGGGCTGTGGCCTGGAGGAACAGGAAAATGATAGCAATGGTTAATATCACAGTCTTTATCTCACACCTTCCTCTCACCCACCCTTTCAACAGCCCCACTTTACAGAACTGAAAATTGAGGCTGAAGAGGCAATCCAAGCAGCTTGGCCATGGCAGAGCTTGGACACTAACCCATGTGCTTAGCCATGCTGCCTACCCAAATATAAGGATGGCAGGGGCCAGGCCTAAAGGGCCCTGAGCCTTGATGGCTCTGAAGAGAGGTTTAGGGGTAGGAGACACAGACCCAGAGAAGTTGAACTGGGGCTCTGGGCTCCCAGAAAAAGGAGTGCAGTGCCAAAGGACAAGTTCAGTGCCATCTCCAGGCCTCCTCTGGCCCCCCTACTCTCAGATGGCTCCATGATTGGCCAGTCACCTTCCTCCCTCTGGCCCTCCACTGTGCCCAGCCTTAGAACTTCAGGTCATCTGGCTAGGATGCCCTTGACCAAGGGGGCGGAGCCTGCAAGGAAGACTGCAAAGTGGACCAGCCAATAGACAAGCAGATTAGGGAGGGGATGGGACAGGAGAGGCAATCGGAGTCCCCACCCCCAGCGCACAAACAAAGTGCCAATGGACAGAGCCACCCTCTTCCTACCTGGGCCCCATCACAGTCCCTCTTGCCCAGCCCCTCTTGCCCAGCTCTCTTTTCACAGAAGTTTCAGGCTCTGCCCTGCCTCATCCAGCTAAGTTTCCCAACCCCGAGCCTCTTCCTCCTCATTTTACAAATGAGGATTGAGAAAATCATTTCGAGGAAAGGATATGGGCTAACACAGAGCCTGGGCTGCAGCTTCTACTCATAAACCATGCCCGTGCCCATCCCCGCTAACTGTGGGAAGACTATGTAGACACCAGCTGGCCGGCCTTGTCGAACCTGGCTGCTCTAAGCTCTGGCCCTCAACCGTGTCCATTCCCTGCCCACAAGGCAAGGCCTTCTTTCCTCTGTTCTTCCCTCTCCCATCTAGCCTGTAAGCCAGGCCGGGCCTCCAGCCTCTCAGAGGGCAGGAAGTAGGATCCCAGAGAGATAAGAAGGCCGCCTTACCTGCTCCCTTGGCATCAAAACCCACCTGCCAGTTGCCAGTAGGAAAAATGTGGAAAGCTCCTATGCCTGCAATGTCCTTCCCTCCATCTCTCCAACAGGCAAACTCCTATTCACCCTTTGAAGCCCAGCTCAAATGTCCCCTTCTCCACATAGATTTTTATCCTATCTTATGAGCATGACTTGGCCTGTGTGTCACCCAAAGCAGGTGGTCTGAGCTCATGGTGGTCTCTCTTAACTCATCTCCAAGTTTGCCAGGGTGTTCCTAGCACCTAGCTGGTGCATTCTATGTGCTCAGTGAAAGATGTTAGCTTGGCTCTGGTTCAGGGGTGATCCCTTCTAAGAAGGCCTGCAGGTGCCAGCTTTGCCCTGAGACTGGGTCTGGAGCCAAAGCATCCACCGCAAGCCTCTTCCTGCACCCTCACAATTACTTCCTCTCAAAGCATTGTAGGGAGGGTGAAGGACTTATCCATGGACACCCACAGCTAGGACTTGAACCCACTGGGCTTCAGTTTCTTCATATACAATATGGGGCTGTGCACCATCAGGCCCTGCGTACCTAACTGGGATGTAGGACAGAATGGAAAGACAAAGATAGGAAAAATCCTTTCGGGTGGTGAAAACAGTAGGGGATGGTCCCTGGGTCTGAGTCAGACTCAGCTTTGCGACTTTGGGCAAAGTACCCAACTTCCTGGGGCCTCAGTTTCTCCTGCTGTAAAAATAAGGATATTAGGTGAGAGGTGATTACTGGGCCTTCTCAATCTCGACCGTTATTAGGGGGAGTTCGCGGAGCCGGGCGCTGCGTTCGGGGTCACCCACCCCGCGGACCGGCCTCGGCCCCATCCCCCGCCACCAGGGCCACGCGTCCGAGGTACTCACTGCGGAGCGCGGCCCCCACCCCTGTAAGGGCGAGCGAGGCCGGGGTTGGCAGTCGGGCCTCTAACCCCCCACGGAGGCCCAGGCTCCCCAGCCTAATCCGCACACACGCGGGCGCGTGACCCCGACCGGCCGCCGCGCCCCCCTCCCCCGCCGCCTGCCGATTAGTCAGCAGTTGTTCTAGGCCCGGGTCCCTTCCCCCCAAGCCCTCCCGCCGGCCTTCGTTTTTCTCCAGAGCAGACTCTTCAGAGACGGTCCCTAGAGCCAGCGGACGTAACCATTACTAGCAACCTGGCTTCGTGAGGAGAATCACTCGGTTTGATAGTGAGACCCGCTCTCCTACCGCCCTAGCCCCTTAGATGCTATTTTGTCCCGCGAATCATCGCATCTAGCGCTCTTATAGAGGATTGGGACAAGAATTGCAGGCACGAACGAGAAATTGATGGTTCATCCCTACTTATCCCACCCCCGTGGCCTGACAGGATGGTAACGCCCGAGGTTGCGGGCTTCGCGCCTGCGCAGTGCGGGGCCTAGAGGGAAAGCGAGAGGGAGACGGACGTTGAGAGAACGAGGAGGAAGGAGAGAAAATGGCGTCCACGGGTGAGTGTGGTGGAACCGCGGTCGTGCTGGCGACAGCTAGGACGCCCAGATGGGGGACCGCTTGTCTCTGGGGTTGACAGAGACGACTGAGTGGAGTTTCTGAGTGGGGTTTGTGGTATTCTCCGCGGCTGGCCGGGCTTAGGTGCTCGCGTTCCCTTCCTCTCTCCTCCCCTCCCCCCAACGGGCGGGCCGGTTCTGGAACCTTCCGGCGCCCTC